ATATTGAGAAGAACAGAGAAGCATGTCAAATTACCAATGTCCATTATCGGACTTACTATTTACGTTTTCATGCATTTTCTTGTGCGTCATACATATAAAATATTTACATAGAGCTCGTCGTCGCCGATGTCTATAGAAACTTGCTTGTAAATGGAGAAGGTTAAGCGGTTTGTCACTGAATTATCGGCTTATATTGTGGCCACCACCTCAACGTCCGCTGAAAGATAGAAATAGAGAGAGAGAGAAAAAGGAGGGCAGCTAATGGAAGTATATTTTTTTAATCACATACATATACTACTTATTTATTTCCATACATCTGTTGGAAAAATGTTTAGAAAAGTGTTTAATGATTACAAAAAACGCATTACTTTACTTAATTAAAACTTCCATAGTGCGATTATAAATATTTATTATATACACATTTACAAGTTTCTCCTTTTTAAATGTTTAACTTTCCTGTGAAATACAAGTTGTGTTATTTGTTTTATCTAGAAAACTGTAGTTTCGTAATATAATTCCAAAAAAGTTGCCTACATTTAGGAGGAGTTTTTATTTCCACCAATATTTAATTATTCTTTCTAATTTACATGTATACAAAAACATGGGGACTCGCCTGCAGTATCATAGGTGGTCCATAAATCGAGAGGTCTGGTTAGAACCAATAAAAACATATTGCAAAGTATAAAAAATGATTTTACAAAACAAACACCTAAACTTTCAGTTCCTACGTCCGTATTTCGATTAGAACAATCAAAACCGGACTCCACAAGGGAGAACAGAAATTTTTTAGAACTTACATTTTTAGTTTTATGTAGACCCAACTATAAATGAAGCAATAAACTTATTTCGAACTTCTTTTTAAAGTTTCATAAAACTTCGTTCAGCATTTATTTTGATCCGGGTGATTATATTATGTTAAGACAGTTTCACCATTTTTACTACCACACTTAGTCTGTTTACGAAGGAATTACTACCGAGAAAACATTGAGAATGTAGGGAAAGTGTTCCGAGAAATATACTTTATAGAAAACTTCACTTTGCCTGAGATCAGTAATAGGCTTCTTGGCAACAACAGCAACATTCCTGGAATTTATTATTTTGCAATTAAACTTATGAATATTAAGAGATAAAGACAGTATAATACGTAGTAAATAAGCTTTAGAAAAAATAAGTGAACAAATTCTTAGAATAACATTCATCAAATTGCGAAGAAAATGCCATAGCATCAACACGAACGTGCTTCTTCACGAATAGTGCAAATCAAAGTTCACAAATTGTTTTTGATATTGATAACGTGTTTGAAGTATTTAGTTCATGTAAAGCCAAGATGACAGGACGTGAGTGCATCAACAAATAGTTGACGTTATAAACGCTCCTGCACATACCATATACACACATGCACACAAAACACACACACAAAGATTGCACATCAATTTAATTTATTTTATTCTTAAATTTATTTGCCAGTCGCGCCTTCAGCCCTCGACGCAAGCTTCCATGTAGCACTCTGTGTGGGCATATCGTCCCGCCAATATCAAAATATGCAAATATAAATATGAGAACATTTACACTCTCTTCTATATATACAGGGTGTACGAACGCATGTAACACGAAAGCGCTTACACCAAAGCCATCCTGAGCAAATATGTTTATGTATGTGTGTATGTGACCATAACATGTAGATATTTAAAAGCATTTTATATAATAATACTGTTAGTGCACAAACTGCCGGCGCTGTTACGAATTCATAAGCATTTGGTCCTGTATTTACGTGTATATTGCCAACAAACCTCTATAGATTACCAACAGTGCCACAAAAAAGTATGTTTCGAACAAAACTACCAAAATGATTTCAAAGTGTAAGTGCGATTAAACATTTCTTTGAGAGCGAGTTTATGCAAAGTATATACTGTACACATTTCTATAATTATTCTGCGAGACCCAGGACACAATTTTAACAAAATATGTATATAGAGTTCAGATTTGTATACCAGAGATGGCACTCTATCTAATCTAGTTTGTTATCTATTTTGGCTTATGCTATAATCCACTGAATAACGGTGAGTAGTCAACGGTATTTTTCTTATTAAAAGTATTTAAATTTAAATATGAAAATATTAGAATTGCATGTCGGTTTTATTTTTATTCCACACTGTACAAATGCCTTTTTTTATCTGAATGCAAGCATAATAGTTGCACAACTCTCTGCATACCAAATTATGAAATACCACATGGAAATAGGGATGTGCAATATATGAAAATGAGAATATTTTAAATGCGTTTATACACATTTGTATGCATGTTTACATACTTTCATACGAGGATGTACACATGCGTGACACAATTGCAGAGTAGTCAGTAGTTATTTGTGTATCTTGCTGGTGATTCTTCGAATTTTGTCAAAGTAATAAATTCTGTTGCATGCCGCATTTCTCGTATGTGTGCATGTGTGTGTGTGTGTGCTTTTATGCCAGTTTTTCACACAATACTTAAGGTCTCTCATCATATCACATCGATTGACAAATGTCCACTGATTATCTTTACCATGGTGGGGAAACCAACAGGGCTTGAAAACAGCTAGTTGGCAATTTATTAAAGCCTTAAGAAGAACTACGCCTAAATATTAACATAGCTCAATGATAAAGATCCCTGAAAAGTTGATGGAAATTTTTCTATAGCCCATGATGCTCTCCATTTGTGGAGAAAACTTAGTTGATTTTCAGCAAACTGGATGTTTCAATTGAATACATTTTTAGAATGGGTCAAAACTTTGAAAATTCTCGATATTTATAAAAGAACCAGCTGCTTATGATAAAGAGGATAGTATGGTAGAGCACAATTGTAACCGCCTTGGGTTTCACGGCTTCAAAAAACAACAAAAACAATGTATTTTCTTATTTAATTCTATAACATCTCTATATATTGTACTAAACTCTCAAGTTAAATACCAGTAATAGTTTTGGAGTTACAGGTTTGAAAAATTGCGCGCTTGAGGTCAGCTATATAGTCACCTAAAACTTTAAACGCATTTTTCTAGAAACTGTGTTTTCAAAGTCGGTTGTCAAGATTTCTCGCGAAATACTTAATCGATCTTAATGAATTTTACACAGGTCCTCAAGATATCCTTCAAAAGGTGTTGAATTAAATTACAATTATTTAAAACAAAAAAACGTCGAGAAATTTTCGCCAAAATTTGGGGTTTTTTTATACGTCTGCCAAAAATAAAATTTTCACTTTATTTGTTTTTTCTTGGTCCAATACCTAGTTAATGGTCTTAGCTCAAACACACACTTGTTTCTTTTTACTTTTTATGATCCTGTCAGAAGTTCTGCTGTCAACGCGGAAGCACCTCTTCTCCGAGGGACTGCCGAAAATGACGTCGTAATGACCGAGTTTTGAATATTTCCTTTGAAAATTTCACAAAATCTTTATCAAATATGTATCTTCGGAATAATAAAACGTTTGAATAAAATATTTCATTTTTTGAGTGAAAATCTGGCTGTAGATGTATTAGATATGGACTTCGAAACCATTTAATTATTAGTCTATTACACCTTTGATAAAAAGAATATTTAAGCTTGCCTTTTCTTAAAGGTCGTTTAAAATATTTTGTGGGTACGGTGAAGAGCCGATGTTTTGGAAACATTTCAATACAGATAAGTCTTGGAAGTCTATGTTAACAGCAAGCTTCCTGCCCTTTTGTGATTCCCGCAAAAAAGAAATTGAATATTTTCGGGAAATATTCAGACGAAAAAAAAAGTGAATGTTTTGACTTAAATGAGGCTTATTTGGTAACAAAGCTTGCCCGCTTTTAATCCCATACTTTCGTGGCAGACTATTTGCTGTAGACGACACAATAACGATTGTGCGCGTAACTCACAAGTTTAGTGTCGAGTATCATTTTATTTTATTGCAACGTTCAGGTTTTCACACACTCAACAACAACAAAAGCGGCAGTTCTAAAATCACAGTTTATACTTTTGCGACCACTACTCACATACACACACATATACTTTTGTATATATATGCATATATATAAGTATGTTCATACATAAAAAATATGAGTATTAATTATTAAAAAATGTACTTTATGATGTGTTATTTTTTCAAAAGAAGTTGCCTGCGCGCTTCAGTACAAGAGTGTGTGTGTGTGTTGGTAGAAGTAAGCGAATTACAGCTTCACGCTTTTCCTTTTTTTACCATTTTTAGAGTAGCGTTTTCCAGACTCTTGTTCCACTATATTGTTGCTTGCTCTTTGCTTTTGTTTGGGCCTCGCTGGTGTGCCGGCTGCTCGTTGAGTTTCGTTTTGTTTTGGACTGGAGCGCAATTTAATGGCCACTTTGGCACACATGTTGAAATCTGCTCGGCATAACGCGTACAAAACAGCAGCAGAAGCACCAGCAGCGTTGTGATGAATTATTTTGTGCTTACAAGCAAACGGTTGTACAGACACACCAGTGCATAGATATAATCGGCAGAAAAACTCATGCTTGTACACTTGCATGTAGGTGTGAATACAGTGGAGGCACGGTATCATCAAAAGCATCAGCGCCAGCGATAGCATCGCCAGCAGCAGCAACGGCAGAGCGAAACAGCAAAAGTGGCTGCCACAACAACAAGCACCTCAGTGGAAACAGTAACTAACGATAACAACGAGCAATAATCCACAAACAGACAGTCAGACATATGTACATACTACTACCGATGTAACTGTTCATGAAAGAAAGCGGTTTTAAATTTTTTCTCGCTCAAATTAAGTGCTGCTTTGGTGGAATGGATGGATTGCTGGATTGCTGGATTGCTTGTTGATTGCGACCGCATTTGGCAAGACAGCATGGCTCTGATTAAGTTGGCCACCACTAAGTCTACTCAAATAAGATCAAGTAATCATAAATGTGCTCTGATCTGCGCGTAGAATCAGCTGATTTCAAGCGAAGGTTATATGCTACAGATATATAAGTATTGAAATTTGATATTAGATTCACTTCAAGTTTACTTACCTTTTTATAAACAGTATGTTGTAAAACTGTAAAGACAAACAAGCAAAGATGTTAGAAAATAGATTATTATATATTTTATAGAATCATATAGATATATGTATATATATTTTTATATAATATATACCGTTTTAGTTATATTTTATGCTACATACAAAAAAAATTGTTTTGGAAAGCTGAATAAAACACAGCTGACAGCTAAAACGACAGAAACGGCATAGGTATGACATAGGGTATGGATAGGTATGTGTAAGGGGATAATCTCAGGAATGCTTTGCAATCCTTTTGAATTAATTCTTATTTCGCAAAAATTTAGCTAGCATCAGGTCAAGTGTCATAAAATATGCTTTACAATTTCTATACAATAAATATTATTATACTCGTATGGCTACATACATATGAAAATATATATGGTATGTATATGAATATTTCAGTTAAACCGTTAAAGCTCAGCAGGTCTACACTAAAGCGAGTAAAATGGACGTTTAATGTTAACATCAGCATAAAAATTACATTAGTGTTAAGTACTTGAACACATACACATATGTACATATATATTATGTATACGAAAAGTAGATAAGTGCTCAATATAAAAAATATAGAAATACATAAGTTAAACAGAAGAATGAAAGCGCATAAAACATACGAAGCCCACACGCGCAAGCCAATGATAAAAGCGAGTTGCTATTGATTTTTATGGAGGAAAACACTTCAGTGGAAACTCAGCAGGCGACCGAAAAAGCAATATGAAATTGTTCATTAAATAAAAAGCAGAATATTACCAGCTAACCAACCTACATATGTAAGTATATACTTATAAAGAAATATACATATGCAAATGAGGATTTATTTTATAAGTTTTAAATAAAAGAAACATGCTAAAATTTGGCAAAACAAATATTATTACTCAACTTCTCTGCTCTAAACACATGAAAACCTTTGGAGACTTAAAGCTTTGCCCGGTCAATTATGCAGTTATATAAAGGAATCAAAAGAAAGCAATGAAATGAAATTTTATTTCCTCAAATTAAAATATTCGAGTTTACTTGACACACCTTCAGCGAGCGAGTGGCGAATTTCTAGCAAAAATATATGTATGTGTGTGCGGAGGAAAGTGAAGCAATATGCCAAAGCATAAATAAAGGAATGGCCGAACGAAAGGAAGTCAAACATAAAAATCAAATGAATAAAACAAAATGTGCCGAATAAAACGGATTTGAAAGGAAGAATAATGGCAGGCTTACGCAGAGATATAGATACCCCCCCCAGCGCTGATGAGGCCTTTGTGGAGGCTTGTCTTTGCTGCTGGTGGCAGTGACATTTTCAGAGTCAGCAAACACGCAAGTAGGTAGTCACGCAACTCTGTAGAATTCGATTCGCGTGACACGCATCTTGAATACATTTATGGTTTGAGTGCGAGAAGCCGTATGGACTGTGAGTGGGTGGAGAGCAAAAATATGCTGAAGAATATAGAAAAGGAGAGTGCAGAGTTGTTTTTATTTGCTATAACATTCTTTATACACATAAATACTAATGAACGCTTGTACATAGTTATTACACTCGTATAAATTTAGAGCCAGGAAGTGAGCTTACAGTTTCTACTTATCGCATTAATGAAACTGAGAGAGCGCGAAAAAAGGTTCGATTAACAGCGGTGACAGGCAAGCGTGCAAAACTAGATTATCTGTTTGTTTAATGAATATTCAAATGATATGAAGTATGAAAAACGTGCGTGGTATGTAATGTTATACGCCAAGATATGACCTTGGTAAATTTCGAATACGATAATTTACGTATAAAAAATATATTATTCCTAATTTAGATAAATGCAAAGAAAATTTAGCAAATAACAATATTTAACACATACATACAAAATGACCTCAAATTATTACTGGACCTAAAAGGAAGAACGTACACGATACTACCGAAGCAGCACAAGAAAATATTTCCAAAAAATTACTGTGCGTTTATTGTTGTTCTGGTCTTCATTTGGTCCGCTTTCACGACGCCTAACATATATTAAGTTTGCCACGAAGTTTGTAACCCCCAGAAGGAAACGTCGGAGGCTTTATACAATGAATATGATATAAATTATCAGTATGACGAGCTGAGTTGATTTAGCCATGTGCGGCTGCATATACGCGAATTAGTCCCCCAAGTTTTGAGATACCGATCTGAAATTTTGCACACGTCTTTTCTTCCCAAAAAGGTACTCATTTGTCGGAACCGCCGTCATCGGACTACTATAGTGTACAACAAACGTACCAACTGGCATATATTGTTGTCTAAGGCAGCGCTGCAATCTTCGAGCAAATTGTTCAGATCGGACTTCTATAGCATATAGCTGACATACAAACTGATGAATCAAAAGCAGGTTCTTGTATGGAAAATTTTGTATTTGTGATTTATAGCTTCGGTACAACCAAAAATAACGTTTTTTCTTGTTTTCAAAATACCTTGATTTATCATTAAATTATTTTTCCTTCTTACTTTTGTTAATAACTTTAAGCAAACAGGGTTGAGAATGCTCCGTTCTCATATTTCGTAATTACTCTCTACCGAAGGAATAAATATTTCAAAAATTTCTTTACTCCAACACCAAATGGTAAAGCTTATAACGAAAAGCAGAGAATTTTTCAATAAAGTGTGTACTTTTCCTATGTTTATTCCAAAGTTAGAACTGACACTTGGATTAGCTAACGTTGTTGCAGGGCGCTGGTGAGCCGATAACCCAAAAACTTTGCACATATTTATTGTTTTATTTATTTATACACCTTTACTGATAAATATTTACAAGCAAATAGAGGCTTAGTAGGTGCAATGCATATAGAAATTCAATCACCCCAATTGATATCTATCATTTTCAACGCCCACACACATGCATACATAAACGCAAGAAGCCCGAGTGTTTTTATATAAAAAATCAAAACATATAGAAATCGTACTTGTATATACATTTTATGTTTGTATATATGTATGTATATCTCTTAATATGTGCAATGTTGCCTTCAATCATCTGATTATGTGCACGCCTGATTGACACCGTCATGCCGCCGAACCAGCCGATCGTAACTCGGTAGCGTTGCCATAAATTGAATACTTTATGAGTTTGCTGGCACAGCAATGACATTTTAATGCATTTGGGAGCGGGTGAGATAATAGAAATGTTGCAATAGCTGCAAAGCTAACCGAGACTTTTGTAATTTGAAAGCCACAAAGTACACCGGTGCGCAACAAGAACCATTACATACATACATACATAAATACGACAGCAAATGCCTCCCAATGCACAAACACAAATGTTTTTATATTTGTGGCTTATGCATTCTTCCAATCTGGTAATCGAATAGCGAGAAATGCATAAAAGTGATAACTTTCAACAATCAGTTTTGATTGCCGCTAAAGAAAATTGATTGCCACCGCTTTTTAATGCATTTATTTTTTTGGGTATAATTTCATTCGTATTGTGTGTAATTCATAAGAACAATAAAATGCTGCGAGCAGCAAGCAGCGAACAAGTCGTAAGTGTTCGGTTTTGGTTTTTAATTTCTTATGCATTGTCGTTTATTATTATTATTATTTTATGATTTCCTCTGCTACATGTGTAATTTTATTTCTCTAAACACTTAAGTGTACATTTCTGGAGGTTTGAATTTAGGCCCGAAATATGAACGGGGTTAAAGTAATTTATATGTTAATGGTTATGTTTTATTAACCGCTGAGAATTAGTAACTGCCGGGCGGGATTTCAGTAATGCATTTCCTCTTATCATTTCTAGCTCTCAACACTACAACTTTTTATCGTATGCCGTTACGGTTCCGTAAAAGTTTATTTATTTCGTGGCGTAATATTCACCTCTTCATTCATTCAGCAGTGTGAGGAAATATTGCTGCCGTTTGTGGGTCACAATTCTTAGTTCAATTGCAATAATAGATCAATGCATCTTTTATTTGCGTTGCAAGACTATTAATTTTGCAATAAATTTCACACAATTACCGCTATACTCGTACATATATGAATGTATGTAACATTGGTAAGAAAGTATGTTTGTCGGTATCTAGGTCTTACAAATTTACCCCATAAATTAATTTAATGACCAAATACACAACAGTACTTGCAAATAAGCCTGTAGGAAATTTAAAGAGCTTAGTACTCTTGTTGTTCGGTGGAGAGAACCAGCAGCATTTTGATTTTTGTCGTAAAAACGAGTCAATTGTGAAGTCTTTTGCGTTCAAGGTTGTCATTCCAGTTTTAATATGACATGTAGAATGGAACCAAGGTCCTTTAACTGCTTTATCGATAGTTATAAGTTTATGAAACAAATCTAAGACAGCATCAGTAAAATGCTTGACCAAATTTACTCAGATAGTATGGCTTTGGAAGACGTCTATTTAATTATCTATTAATGAATTTCTCTACCCCGGCATCGCTGTCGTCATGGAAGGTACCGGTAGCCAGCGTGCAAGTAAAGGCTTAAAACAAATTTCAATATTTCAACAAGAGCGACATAAAAGACGACGAAGTAGAGTAATACAACTATTTTTTTTCTAAAATGACACAGTGATAGCGCAATATTTCAAAGCAAGACCAAGTAATACTGGCAAATTATGTTCGGAAAACAACGAATTCAAACGAACGTGCTTTCTTGCAGGGCTTGGTATACGAGTACATAAACATATCTACGCCCGTCAAGAGTGAGTGACTGACCTGTCAATTGGGTTGTTGCAATTTCAATTCACTGAATCTATGCCAAAGAAGATTTTACGGTCAATTTACAGACAGCAATAAAGTAATCGGGTCCGATTGCTGGCAGTTTGTAGAGCAACAAAATGGCATTGTTTGCCATCAGCTGCAGAGCAAAAGTGTCAGCAAAAACTACCACAAAACAGCACAGCAATGACACTCTGGTGACAAAAGAAGCCAGCAAAGGCGTGCAAGCAGTAACTTACAACATTCGTGCAACAATCTGCAATCTGCTTGTGGATGCATTCGTGTGTGTTCAAAATTCTAAAATACATACAGAAATGCT